GCCCGCCGGACAGCCGAACAGCCAGACACTGTGGCCAGTTTACGATTCCAGAAGCGGCCGATCCACACACATCTCCAGGTCGGGGGGAGCCTCCCAACACCCCCTGTGAGCACTACTGGGACCCTGAGTTTGGTGAGGGTCCCTGTGTGCACCAGGCTGCTAAGTCCCACCCCTTCTGGAATAAACAGCATATAAGCAGAGGTCCCAGTGGCTGAGACAGCTGCCCCTGTCCCCACCCTGGTTTGCATAATGGGGTGTTGAGCTGCCCTCTAGAAAGCTGCCTCTTCCTTTTACCCCCCTGACGGGCATCAGCTGGGAAATGGGAGTGGCAGGGCCCAGAGCATCGAGAACATGGGGGTCTCGAGGACCCCCTCACATTCCCACCACTGGGATGGTTCCCCCAGCATCGCTGTCCCCTTCGCGCTACTCCTCCTGAGTCAGCCAAGGAGACAAGTCCCAAGCCCCGTGCCCACCCTACCCACCCCTACAATCATCGGAGGTGAACAGCAGGCCAAGTCCCCTGAGTTAGAATCCGGCCCACTTGGTGCCAGGGGGCCAATGGTTCACACAGCCCCTGCGACGCCTGGGCTCCCTGCACACGCAGACACACACTTTCACCGACACCCACACACACACAGCCCAACAGGGATGTCCCCGCCTGCAGCCCCCACCACGCGTACAAGATGGACACAGCCTCTTTCAGAGCCCAGGTCCCGCTTGGGAACAAGAAGGGGGCAGCAGGACAAGCCGCCGGTACTTTCCGCAAGTTCTGGGTTGGAGCGGAAAGGCAGGGCCCGGGGGTGTGGTTTTTGGCATCGAAAGTCAGTCCTGAGGTAGACAGAAACACAGACATTCCCCTGGCTAGTGGCCTGGCCCCCGTATGGGACAGGGGCTGAGACACCCAAGAAGGCAGCTGGCAAAGGTGGGGGCAGGACAGCAAGGAGATGGGGCTGCAGACGTTGGCACCCAGGCTGGGAGGGACAAAGACCGGACAAACCCAGATGGTTCTGAGTGAGGTTTGGGGACAGAATGACCCCCCTTCCCTCAATGATTGTGCTTCCACGGCGCCTGCCCAGGAGAGAAGGGGAGGCGAGAACCTACCGAAAGGAAAGATGGAGAGGGAACCCCCGGATGCCTGCCACCCCCTCCTGGAAGGATGTGGGCATTAGTGACCCTGACACCTACCACAGAAAGGGAGGTTCCCTCCCCTAAGACACAGCACAGCCCATCGCGAGTGAGTGAGCTCAGCCTCCAGGCTCCATATCCCCAGAGAACATCTCCAAGGCAACAAAATTGATGCCTGGGACCGGGAAACCAGGGAGGTCCCGCCTCACCCCCCCAGGCCCACCCTGGCCTCGTTACACTCAGCTCCCTGGGCCCAATTAGGGGCAGAGAGACCAGGCGGAGATTCCAGAATCGCCCTGGGAACAGCAGAGTTAATCCCTCCCCCAGAGACATGAAAATCCAGTACGTGGAAAGCGGGACCGCGTAAGACACGACAGTCCCCCCACGACCACGCAGGTCCCCAGGGACGGCGGCGGGGGGCAGAGTTTAAGCAAAGGGTTTAAGACAATGTGTTTCAGCAACAAAGGCGATCAGCATTAGGAATAAACCCCAGCCCAGCTGCGTCCCCCGACGCCCACCTTGTTCTAACCTGGAGGGGGCAGGTTAGACACAGGAGTGGAGGTGGGGGGGGGGGCAGCGCCATCACCGCAGAACTGCGGGGAGCTGGCGGCCCTGTGCGCAAAGGGCCAAGAGGAAACAAAAGGACAAAGAAAAGGGGATGAGAATGTCTGGGGGCGCCCAGGTTGCTGTGCCCCCAAATCCTCCACCTGAGCTGGGCCTGGCTTCATCCCCACCCCCGGTACTGATAGTCCCCGAAAGCAGCCCTTTCAGGCAAGTCCGGACGCCACAAGAAGGAGACTCCCCAGGCCGCATTCATCCCTGAGACAGGGGCCTGGGGGTTGGGACAAGCAGGCCCACTCCCACCCTCCCAGCCCCTCTCCCAATCACAAGCACCTTCTATTTTCTAGTTAAGACTTCTAGGTTCCCGACCCTTAAGAGGCCACACGGAGAGCAGAGCGCAGCAGAGGGAAAGCGTCGAGGATGGTGCAGTTGGCCATTCAGCACTGATGCCCCCCATCCCCCACGGACCCTGGCATGCACCCCCACCCCTGCCCACCCACAGCACCTGAGTTCATCACCTCTGGCGGCTCCAGCCCCAGGGATCCAGTGTCCTGGGCTGCCCAGCTGCCCAATGTCTCCCAGGAAATGCACGAAGGAACCCCAATCACTCAGGGGAAAAATAAAAGGGTATTACACTTGGGTTTTTTTTTGTTGTTGTTGTTTAAAAGTTTTTTTTTTCTTTTTCAAGTCCAGTTTCCCTGAATGAACACAAATATATAGATATATATCTCCTTTCGCTAAGGTTTGGTTCCCCCCTCAAAGAATAAAATAGAATATTTACAAAACAAAACCCCGAAACCTCTTAAAAACCTTATATAGTTTGAATGTTCTTATTTCCTTAAAAAAAAAAAAAAAAAGTTTCCAAAAGCAACAAGAAAAAAAAAATAATTCAGCTGATCTTGGCTCAGGGGTTTCATTCAACACAAGGAGCTGGATGTGATGAGTGTGTGATGAATAAAATTAAAAAAAAAAAGACAAAAAATGAAAACACACAGTGCAGGGATGTATGAGGTAAACAGGATTGGCCTTACATTGCGACTGGTCCAAAGCAGACACCAGAGTCATCAGTCCACTAGGGTTGCAGGAAAACCCTAGGAAAGATTAGATCTGCCTCTCTCTTTTCAGATTTCCTTTGCTGTTGTCTCAATTCATCTCTCTGAATGTCCGAAACCTGAGAAATTCAAGTGTTCCTTGGTTTTCCCCTGTTTTATTAAATTTTCTTTATATATATATGTATATATATTTTTTCTCTGCTTTTTTGGCGTCAGCTGTGGCTCTTTTGTGGATATCTCCCCTCCCCACCCGTATCTTCCGCCATCCTAGCCCCTGCTTGGTCCACCTCGACCCCCTGCCCAGTCTGGCAGGCTTCCGGGGGGTGGTGGGTGGGGAGTGATGCGGTTAAGGCAACGAGTTATTTGAGGTAGAAGACGTGGGGGCTGTGGACAACCCCGCCGGCCCGGCCTGGCTGCCTGAGCTGCTGCTGGTCCCGCTGCTTCCTCCCCGGCTCCCGCCGCCGCCTTTGTTGGGAGCTGAGGGTGGCGTGGGGGCCGGCGGCTGAGCAAACAGCACTCCTAAGGCAGGACAGGAGGATAAGCAACTCATGAAGACTTTAGAAGGATTCAGTGATAGGTACAAGAGAGACCCCACATGGTGCTCCACGAGTTATAAACTCCTCGATGCATCCACTCATCCATATCGCACGCACACATGCACACACATGGCTGCTTGAGCAGAGACCCTGAGTCCAGTGTTTTTGATGTTGTTGTTTTTTTTTTTGGGGGGGTCACAGGTCCCTTTGTACACAGCTGGTCCTTTCCCCTATAAGATGCGATATGCACATATGCACAGTTTGCATCCAGTCTCAGGAGTATGCAAAGAACTCCCCTTAGCCTCTCTCTCCTTCACTCTCTCTGTCCCCTCCTTCTTCATACAGCAACCAAGCTGTTCGGTGTTGGCAGCGCCACCTAGTGGTCTATCTGAACAATCAGCCTGATGTTACATTTTTGGGAAGGAAATGTGAAAAATCACTTGCAATAAGAGAAATATAATAATTAATATGTATTTGTGAGCACTTACTATGTGCTGAGCACTGTGCTAAACTTACTAACATGTTCTTGTTCTTAGCTGCTGTCCGGTCCATTCCAACTCATGGCTACCTCATGGATGCCAGAGTAGAACTGTGCTCCATAGGGTTTTCAAGGCTGTGACCTTTTGGAAGCAGATCGCCAGGCCTGTCTTCCGAGGCACCTCTGGGTGGGTTCAAACCACCAACCTTTCAGCTACTAGTCGAGTGCTTAACCGTTTGTGCCACCCGGGACTCCAAGCATACTATGTGGGTTACTTTAGTCAAGTCTTGTAGGGGAAGACCCTTTGTCCTTGACTGTTTATCCTGTAAAAACCCTGCTCACCCTTTCAACCCTCATGCCTGGGCTCAGGCAGGCCAGGCCCTGGCCCAACCCTGGGCTCCTTAGAAACCCTGGGAGAGAAATGGTCAAGGCAGGCATGGGGTCCCGGGTGGTCCTACCTGTGTACATGATGCCGTTAATCTCGACTGACATGCTAATACTGTTGCTCCCGTTGGTGCTGGTCAAGTTCACAGCTGAGTCCTGGCGGCTCTCGGAGGCTGTGGGAAGAAGAAAAACCACTGCTTATATAATCATAAATACACCTGGGCAATGATCTGTTTCATGTCTGTCTCCCCCACTAGACTTCCAGCTCCTCTGAGGTGTGGACTGTGTATCTGTCATCTTCATTCTCTGCCCCCAGCGCACACAGTCGTAGGTGCTCACTATATACTTGCTGAATAATAATGTATCTGTCTACAGTTTACTTTTTTCCATGATTATGAGTCTTACAGATGTCAGCACACCCAAATCATCTCATTCTTTTTAACAGCTGCAAAGTATTCTATACTTGATTTATTCATTCCCCTGCTGATGGACACACAAGTTGCTTCCGGGTTTCACTCTCATAAACAACACTGCAGTGAACATCCCTGTACATGTGTGTTTACTTGTATACCTGTGTTAGTATACTCTGCTGTAGATATCAAACAGGATATGAAAACTTTCTGTTGTAAAAGAGATTGCCCAAATCGCCACCTATTTATTTACATTCCCATCAGCTGGGCTGAGGGGCCCCATTTCCTCACACTTGGGCCATCACTTGATATTATCAAACTCTTGTGGATATAAATGGTATCTCCTTGTTGTTAATTTACAGATCCCTGACAAGATGGAATCAAACAGCTTTTTGTATGAATTTCCTAGTTATAGCTGCCCACTTCTCTATTGGTTTGTTTGCCTTTTTTTTCTTATTGATTTGTAGGCACTCTTTACATATGTTAGCTGCAAAATCTTTATCTGTTACAACATGCAGGAAACATGGATGGTCTCAGCACCGGGTCCATACCTTGGCTGTTGATCCGTATGCTCATAGGCAGCTGGGCTGTCATGGCCAGGAAGTTCTGCTGCAGAGCTCGCTGCATGAGCCGTTGCTGCTCATCAGCTACCAGTGCCATCTTCTTCTCAGGAGGCTCCCCAGACTCCAGCTTCTCCCGAAGCTGCTCCAGGGCAGCTGCCTGTGCTGCCACGGCTGCCTGGGCTGCTGCTGCTTGTACTGCTGCTGCCTGGGCTGCCACCACGGGGTGGCCTGCTAGGGAGACTGGCAGGCGTCCAGGGACTGTGATGGGGATGGCTGAGTCCTCCTCTAGAGAGGAGAGAACAGGAGTTGGTGGCCAGAAGGGGCCTGAGGTGGCCCGGGCCTGCCTTCCACCCAAGGCAGGAACATGCCCCCTCTTGAATACTTCCACTGATGAGGTGCTCACTCCCTCTCTAGGGAAGTGGATAGGTTTTTGAACAGGCACAAGTGCTACAGAAATAACATCAGATCCTCAGGCCAACCCTAGGAGGTAGGGAGACACCGCTCCATGTGGCAGATGAAAAATGGGAGCTCGGAGAGGCAAAATGACTGGTCTCACACACTGCCACATGTGCTGTTGGTGCTTCTGTGTTAGGAAGGATTCAGAGGCTCAGTGAAAGAGAAAACTGTGATTGACTGGTAATGCCTGCCATGGGCTGGAGCTGGGGAGCTCACTGTCAGGTATCTACAAACCTCAGCTTGTTGCATGCTGGGCACTTTACATTCTGAACCCTCCCCAACAAGTCTACAAAGAAGGGGTCATTTCCCTCATTTTACCCATAAGGAAGGCTGGGCTCAGAAAGGGGCAGTCGCTTGCCCAGGGACACCCAGCAATAGCTTCAGGGATGGCTAAAGGCTCAATGTGATAGACCCATGGTGGCTGCTGGGGGAGCGTGTGTTGAGAAGGAGTCTGATGCTCAAAGGGAAGGCGTACAGTGATTGACCAGCAATGTCTGGGCACGATAATCGATTAGTATTGCCTGCCACAGGATTAGAAAAGAGTACCAAAAAAACAAAAAACAAAAACAAACAAACCCACTGCTGCCAAGTCGATTCCAACTCTTAGCGACCCTATAGGACAAAGTAGAACTTCCCCATAGGGTTTCCAAAGAGCAGCTGGTGGATTTGAACTGCCCACCTTTTGGTTAGCAACTGAGCTCTTAACCACTGCGCCACCAGGGCTTCAGGAAAGAGTACAGCACTCAATTAATGTTTGCCTTAACGTGGTGGGACGGGGAATCAGTAATGTCTGCCATAGCCAAAGGCTGGGAGAACACTGATTAATAATGTCTGCCATGGGCACAAGATGGGAAAATTGTGCCTGATACGTAATGTCTGCCTTGGTGTAGAACTGGAAAATAAAACAAAACAAAACAAAACAAAATAACTATGGATTAATGATGTCTGCCAAGGGCACAGGATTGATTGATTAGTAGTGTCTGCCATGGAAGGACAGTGATTATTACCACCTGCTGTGGCATGGAATTGGGAAATGGTGATTGATTAGTAATGTCTGCCCTGGTTACGGTACTGGAGGATTGAAAGCCCTTTTCCATGCTAACTTGGGGTTTATCATCCTGGTTACCCAGAGAGGGGAAGTGGCACCCCCAACGTCATAGAGCTGGTCTGGAACCAGGCCCCAGGCCCCCTTGGCCCCTCACCTTTCTTGATCTTAGGGGCTGGGGTGATGGAGCTGCCATTGGTGCTGGCGGTCAGGCCCAGCGAGGGCACGGGCAGCTTGGGCGAGGACAGCATGCTGTGAGCCCCGCCTGGGGAGTAGGCGAAGAGGGAGCCCCCGAAGCTCTGGCGCCGGCCCTCCCGCCGGTTGCTGTCGATGGCTGCCTGGAGCTCATTGGGGTTGCTGAGGCCACGCTTCTCACACTCGTAGGGGTACAGGTACTTCATGTACCTGCGGGCGGGGGGCAGGGGGGACAGGAAGGCACCTGGGATGCCTCCTGCGGCTCCTCGTGGCCCTCAGCGCAGAGTAAAATCCCACCTCCCCTGCCTCCCCATCACACATCACCCGCCTGCGGCTCCCGTGACTTGCCGCCATCGTTAGCGGCCGTAGAGTCAGCCTCTGACTCACGGCCGCCCCACGCACAATGGCGTGAAATGCTGCCCAGTTCTGTGCCATCCCCATGATCCGTTGTGACCCACAGGCTTTTCAGAGACGGATTGCCAGGCCTTTCTTCCTAGTCTTAGTCTGGAAGCTCCGCTGAAACCTGTTCAGCATCATAGCGACATGCAAGCCTCCACGGACAGACCAGTGATGGCTGTGCACGAGGTGCACTGGACGGGAATCAAACCCAGGTCTCCCGCGTGGAAGGAGAAAACTCTACCACTGCGTCACCAATGCCTCTTCCCCGTAACTGTTGTTGGGTGTCACTGAGTTGACTCAGGCTCATAGTGACCATAAAGGACAGAGTAGAACTGTCCCATAGGGTTTTCTAGACTGTAATCTTTACAGGAGCAGATCGCCAGGTCTTTCTCTCACAGAGCTGCGGGGTGGGTTCGAACTGCCAACCTTTTGGTTAGCAGCCAAGCGCTTAACCATTTCCTCCTAAGCCTTCAAATCTCATTGTGTCAAAAAAATAAAAAAAAAAACTCAGTATGCATAACCTCAGGCAGAGCTGGATGAGCCCTGAACCCTCAAGAGTCAGAACTCAGACACATTCCATGACAAGGTCCTCTGTGGTCCAGCCATTGTTTCTCGCTCCCTCCTCCCGCCTCCTTGATCTTTCCTGCCTCAGGCCCTTTGCACCTGCGGTTCCCTCTGCTCAGAACACCTCCCCCTCCCCCAGACCTCGACTCGGCCACTTATCACCACCCAGGCTTCTGTTCCCAGAGACCCCGTCGCCCCTGCGGGCACTCACTGGGTGCGTAGGGTAAAGGCGGCACTCGTGATGGAGGTGGGCAGGTTGAGGCCTTTGGTGATCTCCCGCCATAGCTTCTTGTTGATGACCTCTACGAGGCCGCCCTTCTCCGTCACCAGCACGTACAGCATGAACAGGTCCAGCACCTGCTTGGCCATGATCGGGATGCGGTTCACGGGTGTCCCTGGGTGGGGGGGGTGAGGGTGGGTGAGGCCAGGGCCCAACTCACAGCAGGTGTCAAAATGGTTAGTGAACTGACTGGGCCAGACCAGCATCTCCCCTTGGCACTGCTGACAGGGGGGCCGGACACCATTCTCTGCGGTGGGGCTGTCCTGTGCACTGCAGGGTGTTGAGCAGCATCCCTGGCCTCCACCCACTCGATGCCAGTAGCACCCCTCCCCACATCGTGACAACCACAAATGTCTCCAGACATCGCCTGGTGTCCCCTGGGGTAGAATCACCCCGGGTGAGAACCCCTGGGTTAGGGGATTCCACTGACCCCACGGGACTGCGTCCCATAATCATGAGACCTCCTGAAGTCCTAGGATGCTGCATGCATTGAAATCCACACAAGGAAGATGAGAAGACAGGAAGGGACAGGGACTGGATGAATGGACACAGGGAACCCGGGGTGGAAAGCGGGAGTGTGCTGTCCCATTGCGGGGATTGCAGCCAATGTCACAGAACAATATCTGTATGAATTTTTGAATGAGACATTAACTTGAGCTGTAAACTTTCACCTAAAGCACAATGCAATAAAACAATAGAACCTCAAACTATTAAAACAACAAATCAATCAAGAAATCCCCACACTGAGCGGGGAGGAGAGAGGTGGGACTCACAGGAGCTGGAGGGTCCCCCTGGTTTACACCATCTGACCCATCGGGAGTTTATTCTGGTGTGCAGCGTGAAATAGGGATCCAACTCAATGTTTTCCCAAATAATTAACACAGGGTCTCTCCATGGGCACTGTGGACACGGGTCGTCCTGGGCACGGCAGGGTGTTGAGCGGCATCCCTGGCCTGCACGCACTTGCTGCCAGTAGCACCCCCCAAGTTGTGACAATCACGGATGTCCCCAGAAATCACCGGGTGTCCCCTGGGAGCATGGAATCAGCTCAGGTGAGAATCGCTGCTCAAGAGAGCACCCCGGAGCTAGCTCTGCCGCTGTCTGGCTGGGACCTCACCCTTCTACCTCAGTTTTCCCAGCTGTGATTTGGGTCTCTGACAGTGCCAGTCTCACGGGGTGGGGAAGCCCCCGTGAAATAGGGGGAGATGCCGTGGGACCAGCCTGAGGACATGCAGGGGAACCCAGGCCTGTGTCGTCTGTAAACCCCCGACCCCGTCACCAACCACTACAGCTGCCGAAGCAGCTCCGCGTGCTCCCAGACGCCGACCTTCCAGGCCCCGGGCGCCGAGCAGCCTCCCGGCGAGGGCTGGCTAACCCACTCGGCAGCTCGGGGAGTGGACTGGGGTGGGCTGGTGCAGAGAGGGAGAGTGGGGGGCTAGCCTGGAGAGGGTGGGTGGTGGGCTAGCCTGGAGAGGGTGGTGGGCTAGCCTACAGAGGGTGGGTGGTGGGCTAGCCTGGAGAGGGAGGGTGGTGGGCTAGCCTGGAGAGGGAGGGTGGTGGGCTAGCCTGGAGAAGGAGGGTGGTGGGCTAGCCT